AAGCAGATAAAAAATAGTATTCGACAATAATTCTATGTTTCAGTGAAAGTAGAACATCTTAAAAGTTCTTTTAACTAAAAATATTTATTTTGATAATGAATGGCACTGAGTCCCATGTGCACGACAGGGGACTGTCTAAGGGTATGAACATTTGAATACTGTTACTTCTATTCGTACTCTGTGAGTGTTTGGGGGGGGGGGGGGGTATGTATATATATATATTATATAAAAGTTAAATGTTCATGGTTTATGATTATGTTTTTTTAAATCGGATAAAAATTATGACCTCTATAGGGTCCACAAGCTAAAAACGCAATTTTTCGTACATTCAGGGGCCGTAATTCAGGAACTTGTGACCTCTATAGGGTCCACAACCTTGATATACCATATTTTTACGCTATTTGAGAACGAACGGCGGCCATTTTGTCTGTCAATTTTGGGCTGATTTTCACAAAATTCGAACTCAGCCATCCTTAGGGTGTAACGGTGATATAATAATAGGATTTTTTAAATCGGATAAAAATTATGACCTCTATAGGGTCCACAAGCTAAAAACGTGATTTTTCGTACAATCAGGGTCCATAATCCAGGAAGTTAAGGTCCGATATGCGCGAATATCGAAAGAAACTGAGATCTTTGGGTTATAAACTTACATTTCGAGTTTCAACAAAATCGGATAAAAATTGTGACCTCTATAGGTAGGGTGACCCACCATAAATAAATATCTTCAAATATCTCGACAATTACGCCACAATATTTATATATATGCCAAGTGTCAAATCAGTTTCACACAATTATAGTCACTAAATAAACGATCATGTTGTACTTAATAAGCTATGACCATTAATCATCTATAAATAATAGACTGAAAACTGGTTCCAAGTGTCGTCCATAACATCCAGACACTTTTGAGTAAAAGATAGGTTACGTGCCCTTGTTTTGAAATTAGTCTCGCTTAACCACTCTATCGACCATCCTACGTCTGATTGACAGGGCGGGACAATCAAGACTACTTTTTTACGAAACATAACAGAAAGCTAGAACAAGAAATTGAATTTAGAAATAAGCACGTTAGCTAGCTCAACAATTGTTTTAAGAAGCTTGTAAAAGTAAAATGAAACTACTGCTAGTATCATGTTCCTGTCTAACCCGAGTGTTTCAGAGATATTATTTGTAGTAAACCAAAAGATGCCGCTCTTAACGGTACAGTTAATGATAAAGCGATTTAAAAAATGAAACAAACGTAATTTCTAAATCTGCTGTAATAACCAAGAAGCTTAATTTTACTGCTATTCAAAATCGTCAACAATAAATTTTTTATGGCTGTAATAGTTGATAGATTTGTAGAGAATTGCACGTGCCATGGCTATTTATAGTATCATACTGTCAGAAAGTTGGTCTCGACACGGCGAATGTGCACGCTTCAGTGGTAGTCTCGAACTATCAGCGGTGGACTGTATTTCTAGAGTGCATGGGTCACCCTACTATAGGGTCCACAACCTTGATATACCATATTTTTACTATTTGAGAACGAACGGCAGCCATTTTGTCTGTCAATTTTAGGCCGATTTTCATGAAATTCAAACTCAGTCGTCCAGTTGTATTAATAATACGTTTTTTTAAATCTGACCTCTATAGGGTCCACAAGCTAAAAACGTGATTTTTCGTACAATCAGGGGCCATAATCCATGAAGTTTCGATCCGATACATACCAATATCGAAAGCAGCCGAGATCTTTTGGGGATAAACCTATATTTCAAGTTTCGTCAAGTTATAAAGCAGGGCCCTGTTTCACAAAAACTTAACTCTCCTTACAATCGTCTTAAACTAAAATTCCATCCTATAACGTAAGATAGATGCGTTTCACAAAACAATTTTAAGCATTTTAGATAAAATCCACTTAAATAATATTTTAAGTTAAAATTTTATCTGAACTTAAAATAGTGGCGATTCACAAAACTATTTTAGGGACAATTTGAACTAAAATCAATTTTAACTTAGGACAGCTGTCACCCTCTCCTAACTTAAAATCATGACATTATAAACAATGATTAGAGCTACGTTGTGAGATCTATTGCGACATGTAGATATATTTCGAATGATCATAATATTGCCAATGGCCCGGGTTATATAATTTAAACTTACTATCATTCACAAAAATAATTTTCATTCAATTTCTTTTCATTGCATGGGAAATATAGCTGCGAACTACCCGTTTACTTTATCGTAAGTCAATATAAGCAATTAGTTGACGCCCCAAATTAAAACAAACCCCAAGAACAAAAAAGAAAAACCTCAAATCCCCGGTAAACAAAACTTGTTGTTACTATTTTATATATTACCATATGATTCAAGTATAAATTATACCATTTTCAAATAATTAATAGACAAGAACCCCCCCCCCCCAAAAAAAAAATCTGAACTCACTTTATATCTAATGTCTATACAAAACTATCTTTGTAGGCCTGCAATTGTTTAAAATTGCCACTTTCTTGGTATGAGAAGGCCTACAGTCCTATAATATTAAACACGCCATATATTATTATGCAAAGTGTTTACTCATATGGTTTTGGGGTTATGATGATTTGTAAAAAGATAATCAATAATCTCAAATGTGTTTATTGAAAAATTTTATAGGCCTATTTGAAATTAAATTTTAATATCACGAATTTATTATTATTTCTTAATAAAGGCGTTCGTTAATAACACAATGTAAATCGGGGAAGTTTTATATAGGAGCCAAGTGTATTTTTTATTGGGGAAAAATCATGTTAATTTAGTAAGATAGATAGGCATTATCCAATGAGGAGTATTTTCAAAGTATTACTTAAAGGGTCCATGTGATTGACATTTCAAATCTAGGCATCGGAACATTGACTATTTCGTGTATTAGTTTAAAAGTTGTTAAATAATTTTTAAAATTCTACAATAATTTACAGTCAAGATTAATCGTTTGAGTGAGAAATATCACGTTAGTGACAATTCTCAATAGTTTCTGTTATCCAAAATACCATAAATACCAATGAGGAGAGTTTCATACGTTGTAACAATGTCTGCACATGCTCAGACAGTCGGAGAGAGATGAAATAAATAAGTTTATTGCGTATTATTCGTTTTAAAATGTATCAGTTGGTTGGCCTTGAACTTGCATGTCGCTTTCGTGACCTTGGCATTTGATTTACTCACAGGCTTCAATGGAAATAATGCGTATAGATAAACTAAATCGCTTGAATTTCGTAGTTTTATGGTATTCAAAGGATTAATCTAGACAAAAAGTATTGTCGAATTTTAAAAGTATTTAACAACTTTTAAACTAATACACGAAATAATCAATGTTCCGATGCCTAGATTTGAAATGTCAGTCCCATAGATCCTTTCAATATTACTTTGAAAATGCCAAAGTGCCACACTCCTTTTTGGATAATGCCTATCTATCTTACTAAATTAAAATGATTTTTTCCCAATATAAAATACCCTTGGCTCCTATATAAATCATCATAACCCCAAAACCATAAATACTTTGCATATGGCATATCTACTATTATAGGACTGACAGAGTTTTGATTCCCTGGTTGTACGTGACAGAGAGTAGGCCGACAAAGATTTTTTTTCTAAACACATTAGATATGAAGTGAGTTTAGTCTATTAATTATTTATTTGAAAATAGTATAATTTATACTTGAATCATATGGTAATATATAAAATCGTAACAAAGAGTTTTGTTTACTGGGGTTTTGAGGGGGTTTTTGTTCTTAGGGTTTTAAAGGACAATACTGGTGCCAGTCATTATCACATATGTGATAGAACTGGTTAAACACGTTCCAAATATTATTTTATCACAGTGATCATTGCTACGATAGATGCGTAATCAATGATTCAGCAATCGGAAGTGACGAACGCAAAAGGAAGACACAAGTTATCCCTCCATATAACTGACTGAAGTGACGGGTGATAACAGATACATGGGCGAATTTCTGCTCACTAATAATTCCTTCAAAGACCAAACGTTGTTGTGTGAGACTGTGGAAGGATATCTGACAATTAATAAAAAAATTGACTGTCACTAGATAAGAGAACACGAAAGGAAAATAGAAAAAGTCAGTTTTTATAAGTATAGAATGAATAAACACATGTGAATGTACGTACTGTTTCTATTTTTCTCGTGTTCTCTTATCTAATGACATTCAATTACTTTTTTGAATTGTCAGAGACTTGTGTGAGACTGTGGAAGGATATCTGACAATTAATAAAAAAATTGACTGTCACTACATAAGAGAACACGAAAGGAAAATAGAAAAAGTCTGTTTTTATAAGTATAGAATGAATAAACACATGTGAATGTACGTACTGTTTCTATTTTTCTCGTGTTCTCTTATCTAATGACATTCAATTACTTTTTTGAATTGTCAGATATACTCTTAAAGTCTCATATAACAACTTTTGGTCTTCGAAAGAATTATTAGAGAGCAGAAATTCGCCCATGTATCTGTTATCACTTGTCACTTTAGTCAGTTATATAGAGGGATAACTTGTGTTTTCCTTTTGCGTTCGTCACTTCCGATTGCTGATTGACTGTCAGTAGATAAGAGAACATGAAAGGAAAATAGAAAAAGTCTGTGCATTACCATGTTTTGATAAGTATAGAATGAATAAACACACGTGAATGTACGGACTGTTTCTATTTTTCTCGTGTTCTCTTATCTAATGACATTCAATTACTTTTTTGAATTGTCAGATATACTCTTACAGTAAGTTACAGTCTCATATAACAACTTTTGGTCTTCGAAAGAATTATTAGTGAGCAAAAATTCGCCCATGTATCTGTTATCACTCGTATCTTTAGTCAGTTATATAGAGGAATAACTTGTGTTTTCCATTTGCGTTCGTCACTTCCGATTGCTGAATCATTGATTACGCATCTATCGTAGCAATGATCACTGTGATAAAATAATATTTGGAACGTGTTTAACCAGTTCTATCACATATATGTGATAATGACTGGCACCAGTATTGTATCTAAAATGTGATAATGACTGGCACCAGTATTGTATCTAAAATGCTTAAAATCATTTTGTGTAACATATCTATCTTAATTTAGGATGGAATTTTACTTTAAGACGATTTTAATGAGATTTAAGTTTTTGTGAAACGGGGTCCAGGGCCCTGGCTTATAGCCTAAGCTTATCTCCAATCAGTTATAAAGCCAGCTTATAGCCCAATATTATCTCTAAACTTGTTCAATTTAATGTCTTCTTCTAGGTACTCCCTTTACAAAAAGTAGAAAAATAGAATTCTAGACATTATCTGCATTATAATTGTGTGTAATTAATTACATCTTTCATTACACATTTATACAATTTGTTCAACAGAAAATACACACACAACATGTGAGATAATATCTATTTTAAAATGAATCCCAAAATATAGAGTATTCATTTATAATAAATAGGTATCTGATATTTACACAAATCACATTTTTAACTGATGGTTCAATAACCTTAAAACCGTTCATTATATTTCATAAGAAATTCATGTTCTAATGTTTGTTGTTGTACAAGGTCTTTACTAATATTATGTAGCTCAGTTTTACCATTATCCAATGCCAGCAATAACTGGGGAGATCTCTCCACTGATCCAGGGGACACAATTTTACAGTCATTACTTAATGTCATATGAACAACACAGCCAGAACTTATCTGTTCAGTTTTTACTGGATGGAAATCACCTTCCAACAGGTCAAAAGTATAAAGAATTGATTGGTCATCCAAAACAAAGAAAACACCAGGCCGACTTCTAGACCAACGAACAAAACTGATACTATTTAATTTTCCTTTTACTAAATCACACCATGTCAAGAGCGGGTATTCTAAACCAGTATGGTACAGATATATACAGCCATCACAGCTTCCAGCTAATATGTAAGGGTGACCAAATGGAGATAAATCAATAGATTTTATACTAACTGGTCGGTCTATTGTAGTTGAATGACTTCTTGGAAATGGACATGTGCCTAATCTCACACCATGAAGAATAAAACCAATGTCAGTTCCAACATAGTACTGATTTAAATCGTTGGGTGAAAATTTAAAGTCATAGGTACTTGTGTGATGTACATCCATTTGAGAAGAAATCTGTACTTTGAATGATGAACTTTTGACCAATTTAATTCTTCCACCGGGTTGTAAACCAAGATCTAATTCAGAACCAGCAGAATCAGGTGCTGCTATCTCTGCCACAACCCACAGATTAATGGAGCCATTATCAGCACATGATGCCAACTGGAATGATAATCCCAATGAGATACTGGTATTCTCCTCTTCATATTTCAAACTTGTTGGATCAGGGTAAACTGGAAGGAGTGATGAAACTCGACTACAATGATTCTCACTCTCAGATATCCCAGCAGTATTATATGTTGGATATCTGAAAATGTAATCTTGTTGTTCAATAGTTATCATCTGATGCATAGATGAATCTTCTCTTAAATCCCACATCATTATAGAACCATCAACCATACCAGCACAAGCCAGAAGTGGTTTCCTTGGACTTAAACAGCAACATGCTGGTTGGGATTCACAGACCAAAATCTTTTGTGGGTTAGATGGTTCCAGAACATTCCAGATGCAAAGAATACCTTTGGTGTCATAGTTGTTAGTTGCATTCTTTTGAGAGCAACTATACAACGTTAGTAGTATATTAGGCTGACTCGAACTGAAAGAAGCAAATTCGACATAACGTCCTTGTAAAAATATTGGTGTTCCAAGCTGCATGTAATCAGAACTTATTGACAAATTTGAATCGATGCGACTTTTGGTACCATCATTACTTGATAATCCGCTCTCTTCATCTAATAATATGCCAATGACTTGTGCTGCTTTTGAAACAAATTGTGCTATCTTTTCTGTCTGATGTTTGGAAATATATTCAGATTTGGCATTTGTTTTCTGCTCTATATCATCACCTCCACAACCTAAGAAATCTTCTGCAGGGTGTTGGGTCCATTTATCACGATACTCTATTTCTTCAGTCTGTACCTCTCGGTCTATATCATCCTCATTCGTTTGAATATAAGCCTGTTTAGAATCTGAACGCCCAAAGCTTCTGATATAAAGGTCATATTCCTTTACAGGAGGTAAGTCAAACATAACAAACTCAGTTTTATCGAATTCTATTAAACTTACTAAATCCTTGTAACGTTTCCTTGTTTTACTGGATACCTTCTGATCTACCGCTCTCTGCTTAGCAGACACAAAATTTATAAATGTTCTTGGTCGCTTCTCTTGTAATTTAGATAGGCCTACATCAGACATATTTCCCCTCTGTTCTATATCTTCTGATCTACTTCCTGCAGAACCTGACACTAAACTTTTGTTTTCCTCATTCAAAGCTCTTAAAATATCATTCATTTCTTTATCTTTTAGACTCCTCTCGGGCTCAGAATCATCACTTTCATCGTCTACTTCAAAGTCTTCTTCATAATTCTCAAAGTCATCGTTTTCATAGTTATAGTCATCATCTTCATCTTCTGATTCATAATTTGAACTTCTCTTCGATTCCCCCTTACTTTCCTCTTGTCTATGCCTTTTCTCAATGTCCTTTTTTTCATTTTCTTTAGTTGATTTATGGTGGTCTTTAATTTCATCATTATCTCTACTTGATTTATGATTTCCTTTCCTATTACCATCAGTTTGTCGGCTTGATCTATGGCCAATCCTCCTTCTACCATCATCATCTCGACTAGACCTCTGATGACTCTTCCTTTTTTCATCACCGTTTTCTCTGCTGGATTTATATTGGTCCATTCTCTTATCGTCATTGTCCCGACTAGATTTATGACTTCTCCTTTTATCATTCTGATTTTCTCTGTTTGATCTATGGCGCTCCTGCCTTTTTTCTTCAACATGTTCTCTACCAGACCTGTGACTCTGTTTTCTCTCAACATCATTTTCCCTATTAGACCTATGCGTGCTTCTTCTCTTATCATCATCATCGTCATCCTTTCCCCTACTAGACCTATGATTACTTCTCCGGTTTTCTTCATTATTATCTGAATGTCTTTCTCTAGTTCTATCCTTTTTTTCATCCTTTTCTAAACTTTTATCATCTCTATTTTTAGGTTTGTCTTTGCGCTCTCTTTTATTTCTCCGTTCTTCTCTTTGTCTTTCGCGTTCTTGCTCATCTTTAGGAGGCTTTCTGTCATCATCACTTATCGGTTCTTCCTTCCTGGGTTTATGCTCTCGTTCACTTCGTCTCTTCTTGTCATTCATATTTCTGTCCCTGTGACGTTTGTTGTCTTCCGTACTGCTAGTAGTACTCTTCAATGCCTTATCAAGCTCTTCGGTTGTCCAAGTGTCATCTCTAGACCTCGATTTTCGAGACATTTTTTGTCGAAATAAGACTGCTTGTTTAATTTGTAGAAAATATTACTAAAATCCACAAATTAAACAGATAATTATTGTTTAAGTGAGTAAATCAACCACCAGTAACAATATTTGCCGTCTCTAACGACTCCATTTTCAGGTATGCGTGTCTTGATTTTCCAGGCAGTAGGTCACGTGATAATCACAAAGTCATTATGTCCACAAAAGGGATTTCGATACCAAAATAAAATCAATTAATGCGATTTTAGAATGGTTATTCGATATTTATCAATGGATTATTTATTGGAAATGGTGTGTAATGACAAAGAAGCATCGCATACCCATGAGACTTAGACACTATCTCGCGATCGATATTTATATTTAGGCTACACACACTGGACCATGCTTGATACATCTTGAGCGTCTGGGAATGCGCGAATATGTTCACCGGAAATACTGAATCTGGTTCAAGACAACAAAATTAATAAAATGAATCTTTGAACCCGACTGGCCGGTTTTCCGGCCAAGATAATAACGTAAATATCCCGGCTGGCCGGTTTTCCGGCCAAGCATGACACATTCGGAATTCCGCCCTGCAAACATGTTGTGTGTAGCGAGGGCTTTCCCCGTTTCCCTTGGTGATAGTGATACACTGGTATGACTCACTTGGATTTCCCACTCGGCAAACCTCAGTAGATTCTCATGGCAAGCCAAAGCGGAATTCATTGCAAGGCCGTTTTTCTGTATGGAAAGATAAAAAATCGAGTATATAATAATTTTTTCATCACCTTCCAAGCATTTTTTTCTGTACAAAACGACGGATATCAATAAAGGTTATGTTTTTTCCACTGCAGCTCTTTTATTTTGTTATAGTCAAGACAATTATACTGTCAATTAAAACGAAAATCCGAGTGTTGGATTTCCCTCTAGTCTCGACCAATCAAAACACGTAGTACAGTGTGTCGTCTGCAGGGAGGGGTTTCCCCTCTCGCTCGCAGACTTCAACTTCAACACAAATATTCCTGAAAATAATTATTGTTTTACGGATATGTATGAATGGCACGCAGACTTGTAACAGTAGACCAGGAACTTGCTAGAATACTTGAAAGTGATGACGAGGACTTAAAATAACAGTGTTGATTACGGCAATGATAGTGACTTTCTTAGTGAAAGTAGCTCGACGATAATTATTAATACTAATAACTAATAGTGAAAACAATCATGAAAGTCAAAGTGTTGATCAACCATTCGCAAATCTGTCTACTACTGTACTAGGCCTAGTAGGACAGCCATTATCATTTAAAATTATATTCAACAAACCTATTATTAAATATAATTCTTCTAATTCTTCATATTCCATTCTTTCAAAATCTTTAAAACTGTCTACCATTCAGCAACGTCATTTAAAACATAGATATGACGTCACCCTTTGATGTTTTTAACCAGTATATAGGAGAATGTACGCTTTTCTTAAACAATCGTCTATTATTTATAAAACTGTCCATGATTTTTAATAAATAATGGACAGTTTTATAAATAATAGACGATAAATAATGGGCAGTTTTATAAATAATAGACCATTGTTTAAGAAAATACCAATAATAGACACGTATCTGTAAAATGAACATGTATTTTGAGATAATTTATTCTCTGAACAAATTAAATTACAGAACATGAAACCTCATAGTTACGTGTTTGTCTACATCAAGAATTCCACTTAAATCCGTCCTTTATATGTCACTTGTATGTTTAATAGTATGTTCGGCACTAGATCGATGATACGTTTTTATACGCCTACAATTTCACACCTTCTTTGTGGACACTCCACAGGTCATAACTTGAAATATAGGTATATATCCCAAAGATCTCGGTTCCTTTCGATATTGGTTTGTATGGGACAGTAATTTCATGGATTATGGCCCCTGACTGTACACAATATAGAGCTCACAATTATTAGCCCATTTTGAAGAAACTGAAGATGTGTGTTTATAACGCAAAGATTTCGATTCCTTGCGATATATTGGCGCATATCGCACCGTAACTTCCTGGATTATGGCCGCTGATTTCACAGAAAAACGTTTTTTGAGCCTGTGGAACCTATACAGGTTACAATTTTTATCCCTTTATAAAAAACGTTAAAATATATCACCGTTACACCATAATGACAGTTGATTTTGAATTTCGTGAATTGGTTTGTACCTTTGATCCTGTATCCTGTCACTTATATCAGAGTATATATTAAATTTTAAATCAAAATTTGGACGGCTAGTACCCTCCATATTAACCACAGTACTAAGAATATTATCAATATCTAAATCACAACTTTGACGGCTATTATTCCCCCATATCAAGAACATCACAATTTTTACGGCTATTATCTTCCATATTGAGTACATTGCCAATGTAATCAGTATCAAAATGCTTATCACATATAATATTCCCATTATTTATATTTGTTTTCGACTGTGTTATAAATATGTCGTCTCCATGTCGAATATTTTTGACTGTCTGTGCATGCTTGCATTGTATGACTGGAGCGTTTTCTTACATGCATTCATGAGCATGTGCATGCTGTTTTAAGAATATATCCATTATTTTATGGCTTGTTGTTTTAGAAAACTATCCATATATATTTCTGTTCAAAATATTAAACTATAAAAGTCCAAATTACTCGTGTTCCTTATTTCAATTTAAAAATACTCCTTACAACTCTATAAATCTTAAATTACAAATTCCACATCCAAATTGTACTAAATTTAAACATAGTCTTAGTTATAATGGACCAGTTTTATGGAATTCACTTCCAAATAATTTAAACTCATTACATCTCTCAACTTTTAAAAAATCACTGCATAATTATATCCAAAATGTTATATAAATATTCTGTATATTTAAATTTAAACCATTATCGGTTTCTGCATTTGATGTTATTTGGAATGTAAAGAATACATTTTCTTTATTCAGTTTAATATATGTGTATGTTTGTTTTGTCTATTGTCATTTAAGGGCAGAATTGTAAACAGGCTGCAAAGCCTAATTTATCACCCTTTTGAAAATAAAGAACTTATTATTATTATTACTACAGAATCCACCTTTTGTCCCTGCCACAGAACAGAGAGGAGGGGGTCGTGGTGGTCATGGGGATGCACCATTTGTCAACAAACAATGGAAAAATAATACAGATGATTTCAATGAACACCCATTTACTTCCAGATGAAATACCTGGCCTAAAAAAATATGCCACCACAACATTTAAATAGTGAGAGCTCTGCAGCTCTGCTCTAGATTTCTTTCGTAACATGTGGGAATTGCTACGAACAGAGACAAACCGATCGCCAAGAGGAGGGGGTGAAAGCCAGTACACTTAATAACTATGCATGCTGCAAAAAACTTTTCCAAATGGACGCAAGAGGAAATAATCAAATAGGCTAAATGCTTTTTTTGGTTGCAGAATTGCTATGGAGATGTTGCTGAATAAAGATAGGTATGAACAATACTGGCAGACAACTGATTTTTCTGACGAGTAGCCTACGTCCAGACTTCAAAGATGTTCTTTCTCGTGACTGATTCCTTGCAATTTGGACTTTTCTTCACTGTGTGAATGAAGATGATGAAAATATTGACAAAACAGATAAGATCCACAAAACCAGGCCTGTCTTCAACTATTTGATGGGAAAATTCAGAAATTTATACGTCCCTGGGGAACAATTGTCACTTGACAAATCGGCCCCGTTTGTCGCGACGGAGGAGCGCCATCACGTAGTGATCTCTAAAACTATTATGGCCACTTCCGCCTTCATTTCTATCGGGTTTGGAGCTCAAAGGACGGCAATAAACTCGCTCTAACTTGACTGAATGAAAAATCTAACATACTTTTCGACTTTGTGGAATAACAATCTATAATTCTAGTGATCTTTTTTTTGAAAATCTTATCGGATTCCTGAGAACAGATGTATTTTCTTCATGATCACCATCAAAACATTGAAGAATCGATTATGTCGTAAATTTTATGTTAATTAGATTGCCATTACTTAGATTTTCCTTTTTCTCACAGTTTTATTGTCGATTTGGGATGATACGAATATTTAGTATATATTAAAGACGTCTCTATTCATTTGACGTCATTTGACGTTTAAACCTATATAATGTACATGAATTTTAGGTACTATTTTTTTTGCGGATGAATACAGCTGTTCTGTATTGTATTCTGTTGTAGACTGTGAAAATTTTGGATCCATGTGTCGACGCTTTAAATCACATGGATCCATTAAACCTTCTAACTGTTTAATTCCATTTTTTTCATTGAAGATTCTTATATTACAAATCTTTCCTTACACTAGAAACGTAATCACTGGATGAGGGTATGATACCAACGAAAAATGCCTTGTCAATTAGGCAATACATCAAAGATAAACCAATGAAGTGGGGCATCAAAACTTTCTTGTTATGTGAAAGTGAAAGTGAAACGGGCTATATTTGCAATGCCGAGGTCTATACTGTTAAAGTTGACTATCCACAACAGACGCGTGACCTAGCCTCTAGGCGTTACAGGTAATTTAGTTGTCCGTTTCTTGCAACCATATCGCAATTAGGGCTACACAGTGTATGTTGATCAGTTTTATACTTCAGTTAATTTAGCAGAACATTTGATTCAAAATGATGGTACCAAGATCATAGGAACTGCTTTGACTAACGGGAAATTGTTTCCAGATCAACTAAAGAAGCCGAATACTCGCCACGGTATGGATAGAGGATCTTATGAACATTTATTCAATGGAACTGTCGCCGCCTACGTCTGGTGTGATAAAAGCCAATTTATTTTCTAGCTACGACTCACATAAAAGATTCTGACGTAACTGTACTTAGGTATAATGCTACAGAACACAAACGACTGCCTGTAAAATGCCCCAATATCGTAAAAATGTACAATGCCTACATGGGCGGAGTTGATAAGAACGACTAAATGACCAAGCTGCAGAGATCGCGTAGACATTACAGATGGCTCCGCCGACTCATGATGAAGTTTTTTATGTGGTCAGCATTTAATGCTTATCATTATGGACCGGTATAAACTTCATAATTTGCTGCACAGGAGGAGATTAACATTCCATATGTTTCTAAGCGATTTTTGTCACGAGTTAGTTCGAGACTAT